TTCGTGACTGCTGGGGGTGGGGTAAAGCAATGTTGACATTTCCTCATGCGACAATTACGTAGTTGTGTAGTCGTTCTTGCATCAGATCATTACTGAGGCATGCACGTCCAACGTAATGTGTTGATCGTAAAGTAGCAACTGGAAATAACGACACGTGTCTACTTAAAGAAGTACTTTACCACAGTTCTTACTTTAATCCCGCCAATGAAATGAATAAGGTTGAAACATGTTTGCCCAATTCGCACGTAGCAGATGAAATGCAAGTACAACGAGACCCGTTTTTAAAAAGAAATGCATCAAATGCCAATACATTTTAAAAAGAAAAATCATAACCAAAACATTTTTGGTGCAAAATGGCACCCTTGACCACTTCGCCCTCGGCACTCTTCAATTTTCACTTGCTTTGCGAAGGAAGGTTTAATTTTTTTAAATACACACCAGCAACTCTGCAGTGACATCATCACAATTTCTGTGAGTGAATAACGGAACTACTTCTCCCCAGTCAGCCGCTAGTTGTCAAGTAGTCAAAAATATTATTCGGGCAATAGTAACTGTTTCCAATAATACTAGAATGTCTGTGCTGATGTAGCGTCTCTAGTTTTTAAGTAAATTCAGTTTCTATCAAAGCTTGAATACTTTACTTGTGTACAATGGGTATTTTGCTTGTAAACTGACGAGATATCCTACGTTTCTAGTTTTAGTTAGGGATAAATAAAAAAACGTACGTATTATTTTAGCTTCTTCTAGAACTTCTTGGTAGCAATTACTAGTACTTATAAACAGTCCGCTGAGTTTCACGTTCAATTTTCATTCTTATTCTACTCCCAAATTGCTGAGCCACACAGCAATTAAAATACAGATAAAAATATAATAATACAAAATTTGTGTTCTTTTTTTTCAACTACCTCCTCTCCAGTTTTACCTCCTGTCACATTTATGAAAAACCTTTTTCCGCTAATTGCGAACGTATTTTCTTTGAATTATCTTCTTTTAATTATATACTACTGTATTAAATTGTTAAAAGTGGTCAGAGGCAAAACATGACAAGTTGCCTGAGCCTCACCACCAATAATAGTTATTTGCAATTGTGTGCTACAAGTTCTCAAAATTAGTCTTCAAGGATGGAGCCGGAAGTTTAACTGCTACGATAGCTGAGCCGAGATTCGAAAAAAAAAAACAAATAAAAAATTAATAATTTCGAAATGTGCACTAATGTGGCAGGAGAGGATTCCCAAATTGTTCCCGAATCGAACTTCACAAAATAATAATGTTGACAAGAGTTTCAAATTAATTGCAAAATACTTAGTTTCATAATTGCTAAATGTTAAATATTCACTGATCTATTGACACTACTTTCTGACCTAAAACGCCCGCTTACTAAATACTCAGATTCACTTAGAGAGAAATCAAAGGGAGTACGATTAGTCTGATGGAAACAAGAGGAAAATCAACAAAAAGTAACGAAACCCAGAAGAAGAAAAAAATTTGTAAAATTAAAATGAAATAATTTCAAAACCACCCCCACCAAAACAAAATATCTTAATAACATCAATTCTATACTTAATAAGAAAAATAATAAATAAATAAGAATAAGAGATAATAAGAAAATAGAAAATAAGCCTAATAAGAAATTTCGTGTGCTAGAGCTCGTAGCCCTTGCAATAAAACATAATTAGAAATAGATGCCAATGTTATTGAATGAATTATTGAAACCAGCCAATATTATTGAATATTCACCCACTGCGTAGATAGATTTTCTTACAATTTTTTTTCTTGGGGCTTGCATCTATTAATAAATTGTTCATTGAGAATTGTACGTAGAGAATATTTCCCTTTTGTGTGGTATAGATAGAACTCACGTTCCAAGCGTTTTGACGTGGCTGGCTGTAGTCTTTTCAGGCATTGAATGTTGCTTACCAAAACTGATCAAGTTTCACACAGCATTTACTCATTGTGTGGTGAAATATTCATTACATTTGCGCCTTGATGCAGTAATAGTAACCGTGATCCGTGAGAACATTCCGCGCATTGTATGAGTAAATAATTGTGAAAGTTCGAAAGTGAAAATATCTTAGGTAACTTCTAACGGCCATGTTCTGAACTGTGCGTTACATCATCCGTAATTGTGAGAGGATAAACATTGTCATATTGCTTCTGGGACTCATTATCCATATAATGGAACCTTACGCGGAAGCAAAGGCTATTTACGTGATTCCTGCAAGCTTTTCTTTACTAAGCTGGAATACAACGTACTTTTGCCTTCCCCTCTCATCTTCATATCAATGTTTTGTGTCAAAACGATTTAGTACTTGAGGGTAAGCACGATTGTCATTTTATTGCAAAATGGCAATCATATAAGTTTTTAACATCAACAGTCCAACAGTCACATACAATATGCGAACCTCATTTTGTATTCTAAAATAACATTAAACATCAAGCACGTCAAATCATTTCTGATAAAGTGAGCGTATTTTTAGAAAAGCACAATCGATATTTTCTTTAAAAAACGTCAAATTTTAATTCCTCCATTAGAAGTCCGAAAAAAAGTGAACGTGAAAGAATGTTTTTTCGCGCCCATGGGTGGCAGTATACTAGCTATTACACCCGTTTTTCGAATGTTATTTTTACTTTCCCGTGTACATACGTATATATGCGGCGTTATATCCGTAGTGTAGGGAATGTTATATAAATCTGCAAAAAAACGGGGAATTTTCGGTAGAAAAAAATTCATTGCCGGGCCCTGATAACGAAAACGTGGGTTGCTAAATTAAAGGGAAAATCATCAAACACGTAATGTAGCCAAGAAACCTTCTTTGTTGGTTCTTGATACCGAAAAATCAAATGACGACAAATAGTTCATCTTTCCGTCCGTCTGTGAACACCCCTAGGGCCTCCCGCTTATGTAGGATTTTTTACAAATTGAAGCCGTGTTCATGTTCGTTAAAATTTCTGATTTTTCGAAAATTGCAAAAATTTAAATTTTTTAGGTGTCTTCCTGCAACTACAATTGTGACGATACATTTCTTCTTAATTAAATGAGTCCATCAAAACATCAAGTAAGGACTTATTCTTTATTTGAAAATATGATTTTTTGGCCGAATTTGTCTCGAACCTTTTTTTATTATATTTTGATCTCGGATAGTGTAAATGTCACTTGAGAGTGTGTGGTAGTTAATATTAAATAAACATTTCTAACTCTAAAACATCAGGTGCGAAACCTTATATCTAAAATTAACTGGCAATGTAAATGTACGTAAGCATTACAAATATTGTGAGGAAGAACATGATTTCTCGCAACCATTTGCTGAAAGAGCCAAGAAATATTGAGGTGATTATTTTGGAATATTTATTGCTTTTGAGAGTTTCATTCAGGTCCTAGAGACAATTGTAATTTCTAAGATTTATCTTGATGGATACGCGCGCGGTGTTGGTGACTTTTATTTTAATTTAAAATATAATTTTGTTAATTAAATTATGATTATAGTTTTAATTACAATTTACTATTGAAAATAATTTTTTACGATCTTTTATTTAATATCCGATCATTTGAGATTCACTTTTCAGCTATCCGCTCATCCTGGTTATGAACTTGCAATTTAACAATAGGACCGTGGCGATTCGGCATGAAGTACACAGAATAATCTCTCGTCGTCAGGAGGTGTTTCTAGAAGAATGGTTCTTGTGAAAAAAATGATATCAACAACAGGACAATGTGGTTGTCAATAGTGGTGTTAAATTTAGTATTTCTTGTGTTGGAATAAGGAAATGTGAAAGGAGATTGGAGGCTTTCATTCGAATCTTGAAAATAAATATTGCATTCAATATTATTTAATCATTAAGTCTATTTTAAATTGCACTGATAACAGAAAGTGATAATGATGGCCGCCATTGGTTCGCGTTAATACAAACTAATAATTTTATTTACGGCTAAAATACGCTTCGCGCATAGTTGGTACATTTATGTAGAAAGTGAACCAACTAATTCATTAGCAGTTTTTGTTTCAACTTTTGCAGTAAAAATCCGTGTTTTTAGATCTTCGATTCTTTTAAGAATTTTTCAATTGGTATTGAAGTGTGAGACACAAAGAGTCATATTATGATATTACATAACCATTAAGAATATTCCGAGAAAATACGTGATGTTGTAGCAACATTAGTTTAATATTTCACACATTTCACGCAATATTACGCTAAAACTACTAAAATTAAAAAATAATGAATATGATCTTAATGAAAGAAGTAATTACGGAGAACAAATTTAATTTGAAGGAAAAAATTACCATCTTCAATTTTTTAAGTGCAGGAAGACGCTGGAAAAGTTAAAAATGTTTGCAATTGTTGAAAACTCAGAGTTCTGGCGCATCGCGTATGCTTGCGCAATAGAATGTAACGCTGGGCGCTCTGTGACAGCCCGGCGCCACGTTTGGCTTTTTGGTTGATTCAAGGAAGGGCAGATGGCGCGGTTGTTCAGAGATGTCCAGTACGCGAGTCGAATGCAAGTGCCGTGAGGATTTTGAGGCAGAGAGAAGCACAGCCCGGCAACTTTCCATCAAAATTGCGGACAAAGCTAGAAGTTGCTACTATAGGATGCGCTAGGGTCGCCGAATACAGCTGCTGGTAAGGCTCGCCAACTTTCGCGCATAAAAACTGGTCAAGAAATAGGAATACGCTCTGAATATGAGCGATTTCTGAAATAAATTACAAAAGAAGTTAAATACTATGTGTTTATCTTCTAAAATGCATTTATTGATAATAATACACGCATGAAAGAAAAGGTAGCGCCAACAGCGGCGTGATATTATGTATCAAGCGCGTGTGTTTGCGTCCCGACAACCCACGCGCGTTTTAAATAAAGTTGGTAGCAGTTCGAACTTTAGTTTGTGTAAGAAGGTGATGCCCTAGAGCGCGCGACTGTAATAGTCCCCGCCTCGTTATAAGGGAGTTCTAGGGCCCTGGAGAGAAGGGAATCGGCCGTCAAGTTTCGGGTGTGATGGATGTCGAATGGGGTGATGAGAGACAAAATGTGAGATACCTGATGAGGAAGTGAACTAACTGGAGCAACATATTAGCAGAATATCGTTGTTCAAAAAACGCCTGAATGCTGGAGACAGTAAATCACAAAAGGTATGTGTGCTTCAAATAATCTGTGTATAATTTCGCACAATTGGTCGAACTTCGCCCAATTTTCGCAATTACATGTCAGGTCATCTGTTGAGATAATTACTTTTACTAATGGAGAGTCATAAGATGTTGAAACTTGTCGCCAACCATGAATACATCATGCTCAAAACAAAATTAAGCTGTCATACTGTATAGTAAAATTAATAATAGTGGTTAGAACAACTTTCTGAACACATTAGTGATTGAAATCTGTGGTAATTTTAATATCAAATTATAGGCTGAAGAAAGATAATACTTTATCATAAAAATGTAGGGTATTCTCGTGCTTTGGATTGTTGTTGTAAAATAAAGTGTGGAATCTAAGAAAATGCTTTTAATATCATGTGCCTAAAGTTGAGGTTATCACATTCTTGTTTGCCATGATGTACATATGCAAAAGGAACCAAGCATATTGTTTTTGGTTTTGGTGTAAAGGGTGGCTATAGGTAATTAAAATTTTATTATTATGTTTTTTTTGAACAAGACATGTTAGTATTTTTGAAATATTTCCTGTGTATAAATGTTATTTCTGAGAGATGTCATTGAGGTGCGACTGAAATATTGCATTCTGGATGGTTGTGATTTGAACAACCATAGAAAAACTTTTGGAACTGTTTGTAAGTGTATAATTTTTCCTGTGTATAAATGATATGTCTGAGAGATGTCATTGATGTGCAGCTGAAAGGATTTTGTTGCTATATTGCACCTTAGATGGTGGGAATTTAAATTTACTTTGGTGAGCTAAAACATTTGGGAACTGTATGTTAATGCATAATTTGTTAGTATCAACTGTGTATCAGTTTAATGATGATTCTATAATATGTTAGTATTTTTGTTTCCTGTATAAAAATATAATTTCTGAGAGATGTCATTGAATGCATGGTCTGAGTCCCGCATTGGGTATGGTTGTTTGACCCTCGTCTCTCATGGATGCGGAGGGCCTCGCGTTCTGCTGACCCCAGATCAGAGGAGCCTGCAAGGAGTGCTAGTACCTTGTGTATGGTCGACAACCTCCCTGATCGCATAACAACTGTACTGATTCCCAAAGTTGGTGTAACAACTTTTCAGACTCTTTAAACAAGAGAGTTAAACTTGTGCAGTTTTCGGAGAATTTAATTCTTTAATGTGAATTAGCTGAACTTGCGCGTGAAAATCTTTGCATTGGGACTTATTTGTAATTTAATCGTTTTGAACCTGAAAATTGCTTCGAAGTAGAACCTAACTTTGATCGGACAGACCATGAATTGTGAGGAACAGCATTATAAACACGGTCCTTCAAAACCTAGTTTTGAAGGATTGAAACGCATAGTTTTCAAGTATTGCGATTACAATGTGCGTTATTATTTTTTATGTTAGAATTTGCAAACGTTTTTTTTTCCTTAATTCACTTGGATACTGTAATTCTCTAATCCGTTTACCGATGCAAATAAGTTTTCTATAACACGGAAACGAAAATGTGCGCTTTTTAAGTATATTTTTATTTGTTTATTTTAAACTCCTACTCATGTTTCAACTATTTATAGTGAAAATGATGGGAAGGGACTTTGGAACTTAAGAAAACGTGCGCAAATCTTCTCCACCATATGTCACATACAAGTGGTGTAAAATAAGTTGGAAAAAATATTTGCGAGTTATTCGTGATGACAGCAATGACATGCAGTACATTACTGTTAATTTTGGTATTTGGTAAATTAATTTTGAATATCAAGTGATGTGTGTGTGTACTGCAGTGGTAAGCATTGTCTGTTCAGATCCATTATGGTCCGTTCAGGACAGTGATTTTTGGCAGGTGTGGTTTGGCAGGTTTGACTAGTTAAGCATCACTGTGTGACATGCAAACTGGTGTTTATAAAAAGTGCAACATTCATAAGGAAGAGTGGGAATCACTTAGAAATAGTGGGATGTGTATACCAGTATATCCATGCAAATGATTAATATGCATAGCGATGGCGTACACGTTGGCCTAGCAGCGCACTCCTGTGTCTGACAGGATAGGTTAGGGTTACCTGACACTCAGTCGCTGTAAAGCCATAAAACCTGCAAGTAAGTGTCTGTATTCCTCGTGGACGCCAAAATCTGCAATATCAGCAACTAAGTGAGTTCGAACGGGGCAGAATGATCGGTCTCTGAGAAGCTGGTTTGTCGTGCGAGGACATTGAACGGCGTTCGCTGCTACGACAGTGATGCATGTGTGGAACCAGTGGCTAGAGGAGGGTTGCACACAGCGACGAGTGGGAATAGGACCATGCAATGTGCCCACAGCGTGAGATGACCGCCGTCTTATCCGCATTGCCGTATCTGACAGAACGGTGTCGTCCACAGTGATGACTCGACTTTGAAGAACTGCAACGGGTGTGCTCATGTCTTCCTCGACGGTGCGACGTTGTCTGCTGAGAGCTGGATTGGTGGCTCTCATACCACTGAGACAGATTCCATGAGCCAAAAACTACCAACTCCTCAGACATCAATAGGTACGTTCACTTGTATGGTGAGAGACAAAACGAAGTGTTTTCAAGCGACTCCCGCTCCAATTTGTGCTACAGCGATGGCGGCGTACGTGTTCAACGCCATGGTGATCTCAATCAGCCAGCCTGCATTGTCCCGTGGCATAGAAGACACACGCAAAGTGTGATGGTTTGGGTCGCCATTGGCTACAATGTGCGATCTCACCTCATATTGAGGGCAATTTGAACAGCAATCGGTTTTAGAGACTGAGGTACTGCCCCTCCTGCCAGCAGCTTCACGTCCCATATTTCAGTATGACAATGCCCAACTGCATGTGGTGAGGAATGTGCAAAAATGCTTTCTGCGAAGAACGACGGGTACCACTGCTTCTCTGGCCCGAGTGGCATTGCCGCTCTCGAACGTGTTTGGGATATGAAGGTTGGCAAATTATTTGTTCTGGCCCTCCTGCATCCGATGTCTATGTTTTGTGGTCATGCATAAACTCCGCATGGCAATGTGTTCCACAGCAGAATATCCAGGATCTGTTTGAATCGATGCCACGTCGTCTAGAGTCGGATGGTAGCGCGTGTCGGTTATATACCGTGCGAAATAAAGATCAAACTTAATGTACAGTTCTGTAATTGTAATCATTTGCATATTTTGATATTCTTAATCTGTGGAATAAATTTCATTGTAATAGTATGTCTCCTTGGTGTTGCAATTTTTACAATCAGCAGGGTAGTTTTTTCCCGCCATATGAATGGAAATGCCAGCTGTTACTGCTTTTTCAGTGAGAGTTCAGTGTGTATAATTGAAAGTTAGGGATACGTTTAAGTTTTCACGTGATTTACATTGTTTCATTACCATCCCTATAAAGAGTATTATAAGAATTGATACAATTCATGTACACTTTTCTTGCATTCTATGTTTGCACCAAATTGATATGCAAACATTCTCCACTTACGGGAATTACAAGAATAATAGCGAGAAAAATGGCTAATGCACACATCAGCCAATGTTTCTGAGTAATTAATGAAAATCATTTGAATTGTTAATCACCATCAATACCACCAATTTAATTTAGCAGCAATAAACCACAAAATCATTCTCATTACTGAACAGACAATACATAAAAATAGTTTCTTAATATTTGAAAATGTATTCAAATCCTAAAACAAATGTTAGGTTATTCTGGGTTTATGATCTACAATGGGGTTTTCATCTATCAGCGATTGAGTAAGTAGCTGTGCTTTAGGATACCTTTAATAACTCTAAATGTAAGTGATACCTACCAAATCCAAAAGTTCTGTTTTGAGATAAGTGAAGATGAAATAGAAGCAGTTAATATATTACTCAGTTCCTTCCTCATACTAGATAGGAGATATACATTATAATATGCAACATTGCTTTTACGGAGAAAGGAAGAAAAAATGAGTATTAAAGATGATTTTTTCCTGTACATTTTCACTATAATTTAGTACATCCAAACCCCAAGACTCCAATGACAAAACGAAAGAATAGAAGAAATATGAATTAGCAATGAAAATAACTCAAAATCATCCAACATGGATAGAGTGAGTTTCACTTTCATTCAGGTAATACGTACCAGTGGTAGTAGATATGTGGTGTTTATGTGTTACATATTCTAATTTTGTTATTTACATAATGTCGATGGAGAAGAAAATTATCTCAAAAATATGTAATGCATAAGAATCTTTCAAAAAAATAGCATTTTGAAAGATGACTATTTCGTTCTAAGAAGAGCCGTTAATAATTAATCAAAAGAAAAATATTTTTCTTCACTGGTTGTCTTCTTGACTATGTACATCGTTTTCAATAACTGTATGGCACTGTTGTTAAAAATGTATATTATTTTCTAAACATCTTCATTAATCTAAAATGACAATTTTCGAAATTTCACTTTTCTTGTAGATGTGATATAATGGTACGTTAAGTGGTTTAATTTGGTTACATTGTACGTTTGGTTACGTTGTTTTGCAGAAGTGATATTATTTAGTAACATGAGTTTTATCAGAAGATACTTTAGCCACAAAAGTTGTCAAAAAACTGTGTCTAATCTTCTGAAATGTCTTTTTTTTCATAAATTTCCTGCTTTTTATGTATATCATGAATTTTACATTGACCAGTATATATGTATTCATTCCAAATATCAGGAATTCTTTCAGTATATATTCATTTATTGAAATATACACATTTTTCAGTAGGAAATCTTCTTAAAATATTATTTCAGAGCTGACCGACACTTATTTAAGCATCGTATCATTTGTTGTAATTTCTGCATAATTATCTTGATGAAATAGTAAACTAGTTGAAAGTCATTAATATTATACACAGAAATTTATATATTGTATAGCTTAAGCTTATTGATATATTGTATAGGTAGTGGACTGGATTGTATGACTAGATAATTTGCAGATCATTTGTGCAGAAGCAAATTTCTTGTTCATTTATAAAACTTACTTATAATATTAATTTCTATTGTAAAACCTTAATTACTG